GAAGAGCCTGGATCTGCCTGAATCTTTCCAGGACTCGGGTCCGCTGGTTCGGATGAAGGTCCTCTACCCGACTCCGCGCGTGGCGGGCCTCGGCCTGGAGCCCGCGCCCGGCCCCCTGCGGACGCAGCACCCGCTGGCGGGCGTGAGACCAGATCTCCGCTCGCACCCTGGCTCTCTCCCCGCGGACTTGCCCCCCACCCCCGCCCCCGCCGTGCTCCAGGTTGTCGGACGGCCCGGAGAAGCGTGGAGGGGAGGGCGGACAGAGGCTGATGAGTCTCCAGATCCGTCCTCCGAGGCCAGCAGGCGGGAGGGAGGCCCAGGACGAGGTGGCATTTCTGTCCGAGGCTAAAAGCAGGAAAAGGCAGTAGGGCCCCCCCTCCAGGCCTGCGCAGCGGTCTGGCCTTGGGCAGCGGACGAGGCCCCCCCATGTGCGGAGGGCCGGCAGCTCCGCTGCGCCCACCAGCGTGAACGCAGGTCTCGTGCACAAGCGCCCACACCCCCACGCGGGGTTTGCCCTCATGTCCCGCACCCTGTGGCCAGTCCCGCTGGCGCGCGAGGTTCACCACCCAGGGACGTGACGCAGCATCTGCGGTGGCCCCGGGCAGCCAGCCTGTGCCCCCCTCCGCCACTGCGCGCCCCCCCCACTCACGTGGGCGAGCGCAGCCCTCCGCCGTGGCAGAAAAGCCCAGGACCCCGACGGTCACAGAGCAGAGGCTTCCCGTCGGCCCTGGACTCCCGTCTTTCAAGTCAGGGAAGAAACTTCCTGCATGTTCGGGCGCTGACGGGCGTGGTGGCAACCGGGGGTGGGCCTGTCCTTCCCAGGCGGGACCGAATTCTGGACCAGGCAGCCGAGGGGCTAAAAGGCCTGCGACTGGGAGGGGAAACCCTAACACCTGTGGGGGGCCCGCTCTACCCGGGGCAGGGGGTGGGGTTGTTCATAGAACTTTGCGCAGCCTTTCATGACGTCATGACACCATTTCTTTCCGAAAGCAGCCTTCGGAGACAGTAAAGCTGATGTTTTCACCCTGATGTTTCCCTCTGAAAAGATGTAGGGCTGCCCCTGGGTGGCCGATAGTTCAGTTTGAACCCGTTCTTCCCACTGGACCACGTGAGCAGGGCAAGTGGAGGGTCCAACAGTTTCAGTAAACACAAGGCTATCGCTTTAAAACGTCCTTATACACGGAAATGAAGCCTTAAGGCAAATACAATGGTACAATGGTTTCAACATGCTGGGCACGAAAATGAGTTTGCTAAATTCAAACTGATTTTGGTGGAACCTTGGGGTGACTGGGGAGCACAGCGGTCCCAGGCATCGGCCTGAGCTCTGCTGGGCTGTGCGGAGGCTGGGAGAGACCCCAACGCTGCTTTCCCACCTTTGACCGCGGAACTGTTTTCTTTTCAGACACACGTAACCTTCCAAACACTGTGTCACGAGCACAGTGTGGGGAAGGCGCCCTGCTTCCCAGGCCCTTTCTTCTGAAGAAACACACCGCTGACGTTCAGGGGTCGGGGGGGGCACCTGCAGAGCCCTCTCCACACCACCCTTCCCAGTTCACATTCCCAGGTTTCTCCAATGGAAGTACAGGATTCTCGGTTAAAACTGAACTTCAGATAAACGGTGATTGTTTTAGTACAAGTGTGGACCATGCAGTGTTTGGGACTTTACTATATAAAAAATTCCTTCGCTATCTGATTTCTGACATTTCATTTTAACGGGAAACCTAGCATTTGTCTAATGACTGCCCCCTGACCCCACTGGGGAGGACAGGCTCCTGGTCCCTGGTCCACATTTCCAGACATGGCACGGGGGCAACAGGCCCCAAGGGGCACAGGACCCACAGCCTGGCCACCCGCTTTCTGCCCTAGTTTGTGCCCACACCTGCCTCCTTGGCCCCGGTCTGTGCTGGGGACTCTCCCCGCCCTCCCGCCCTGCTGTGCCCGGAGACCCGCTGTCTGACCTCAGACAGGGGAATCCTCGTCCTCTGGCTTTGGGTTCAGCTTGGCCAGTGCCAGCCTCCAGCAGAAGATGGAAGGACAGGCGGAGAAAAGACAGGTGCTCGTCCGCTGGCCCCGGGTGGGCTGTGGCCTCACCGCCACGGAAGTCCAAGCTCTCCAGGGTGGGGTGGGGGAGCCTCTCCTGACCCAGCTCCCAGCAGGTCCCCACTGCTCCCTCCCTTCTTGGCCCTCGAAGACTCCAGGGAAACTTCCTTGAGGCTGCACCAGCCTTCCAGATTTCCCTTAATTCTTCCCCCAACTTTCTAAAGGGACATCATTAAGTTCATTTTCACTGACTCCTCTGGAGGGACACTTCTTCCCTGCCAGGACCCTGATTGACACAGGGAAGACTGAGATTTAGGGGAAACAAAGATTCCCAGCCTGAACCTTCACCTGAAATCTCAACCCAAACCTTGGCTCATGGTCTTGCTCTGGGGGGTCTTGACACCGACATGAAAGTTCCTCATTCCCCACATCCGATCAGATGGACAAACACCACTATCGGCTGGTACCTGAGCACCTGTGTTGGTAACATGTCACTGGTTGTGGTCAGCTTGGGGGTCACTGTATTCAAAGGCCAGCAGCGCCTGTAACTCTGCACCTCACCGAAAATGAGCAGGGGCCTTATCTCTCTCCCAGATCAGCGATCTGACCACTCGAATGGTCTTCACGGGGCCTGAGCAGGAATGCTGTGACCTCGCAGGTCACCTCAGCTTTGCCTGCGACACCACACCTTCTGTGTTCTTCTGGGATGGGACTGTACCCGCACCTCTGATCACCATTCTCTAAAGTTACAATGACAGGTGCAATTATTATCTTAAGAGTTCTAATTACTTAAGAATATTCTCCATTCTCTCACCAGCTCTGGAAACATGTAGGTCAGATTTTTCCAAGTTATCCTGAGGACACATAATGATTGCTGAGAAATCAAACCCATTGATGAATTAAATCTCTAACTCGGGCCAAACAATTTCAAAAGCAAAATTAATAAATTCCTTTTGCATTTTTATAGGAAGAAGAAAGGAGAAGGAGGAGAAAGAAGGGAGAAGAAGGAAAAAGAAAGGAGAGGAAGAAAGTAGTGACCACTGGTTTGACCCGAGAGCTGGGCCAGGGCAGAGCCGTTGGAGGTCCCCCACCTTCCACGCCCTTGGAGCATGACCTCTGCTCGCCTTCCCAGCTCCCAGAAGTACCGCGAGAAATCAGCCTTTGAATAGAAATGCAGTTGGGACTCTGTGTACTGGGTATGACCCAGTTAAAGCCCCTTGGGCATGTGACTGCACCCACTTAGGGCATCTACATAAACTTTTACGATTTGGAGGGTGGATGGGGAAAACTAGTCTTCTTGCCATCGCCCAAGACAAGCCTCACCTGCCACCTCCCACCTGGAATGTCGGCCTTCCTCTTAGATCTCTGCCTGCCCCCCACCTGTGGAGGAAGCTCCCTAGAAGTTTGTGACCCAACACAAGTGTGTAAGAAAGTTTGTGATTTGAATTCTGTATGGTCCTGAGCTAGTGGTGCATCCAAGCTCAGAGAAGCTCCACTAAGACCAGAGGTTTGACTTCTGGCCCCACGTAACCACATTCTCTCACGGTGGTTAAAGCGAATGGCCCACAAATAGCAGATTCTTTGGGAAAGCAAGCGCAGAAAGTAACGCTGGTCAGATTTTCCCTCCATTGCAGCTCTAAAGCAGGAAGCGCGTTTACCTTAACACCGGCAGGGCCGCGGTGCCCACTGGGGATGTTCTCCACGTTCTCACTACGGCGAACAGCAGGACTATGCCGTGAGCGTGTTTGAAGACAGAGACCTCCCGCGTGGTTTTGTGTCACATAAACACTGTGCCGGGGAGAAAGGACCGAGGGGAACGTGGCAGACACACGAGAATGTGAAACTGACAAGGATTTTGCTCTTAGGTTTCTTTTTGCTGCAAAAGTGGGTGATGTTTTCATATTACTAATGAATAAAAGTCTGCTTGAAACACCCCCCCCCCAGAGAAATGCTTGCTTTTCAGTCATGAATGGGTGTCTTCTGGAAACAGAAAAGTTTTGGGCTAAGACTAGCAGAGATGGGAAACCTGTTTACCCAGCACCTTCTCCACACAATACAAGGAGTGTTAAACTATTTTGACCCTGTTAAGCTATTTTGATTCTGGCAGAGTAAAGAGATTTTGGAACTTGTTTACCTGGCCTGCCCCACCCCCCAGTGTTCTGTGAGGGGCCATCCCTGCTGGAGACTGTAATGCATCGTGGGTAGTATCAGAGCCGAGTTGTTCATCTAGAAGCCACGGTCTTTCCAAGGAAAGGGCTTTCGCTGCTCTTCAGAACATGCAACCCTGGCTAAGAACCTCTGAGGAGGGTCAGCCAGCTCTGACTCTAAGCACCAGGGAGGTTAACACAAGGACAAAACGCAGACTGACAGTATTGATCATGTTTAATGAAAAAGAAGTTACATGAATAGAAATGGAGATAAAACGAAGAGATCAATTTGGGGAAATACGGTGATAAGTAAAACAAGGGAAAATCGCTTTAATCCTGAATTTACTCACATAGTTTCATCAGTTATTACTGACCCAAAACACCTTAAATCTAAAACAAAGCAGTAGTTACAATTTTGCTGTTTTTATGGGAACTCACCAAAGTAATGTCTAAACAACCCCTTCCCGTTTCCCCGCCCCCCAGCACACGGCACAGGCAGGTGGTTCCCGGGAGGCAGGGCTGGAAGACACCTCGTCTGCTAATCCCTGTTTCAACCGCCCGGAGGGCGCCTCGGGCACAGACCGACTTTCTGCGCGCACGCCTCGGAGACAAAGCTCCTACGCTGCGCAGCTGCGCAGCCTCAGGGCTGACCCACCCCCGAGGGCAGCTGACTCAGGAGGACGTGGACACGTGGACATGTCGGGGCGTTCTGACGGCTCAGCCTTGAGCCCAAGGACACCATGATGATGCGACATTTAATGCACAGCTGTGGGCCCACCATGAGCATCTTGCTGGTCTGTTCTGCGGTCTGTTTGGGATTCTTAGTGGAGCCAATATTCTATTTCTGCCATTTTCTACCCTGATGTATAGGAGGCTCCTATCTTCCTAAATAAGAAAAATACCTTGGAAGCTAATTACAATCTCTGAAAACAGATAAGGGTAACAGGTTTGCTTTAGTCATCTTATTTAAAGTATAACATCCCCTCCCACCCCCATGAGCCTGGACAGCAAGCACTGGCTCCAGCGCCGGCGGCCACGTGGGGAGCCCGCAGCGCGCACGCTGCGCCTGGGCTCGGGCCGAGCTAGGACGAGCCCTGTCGCTTCTGGTACTGGACCCTGAGTTTTTCCAGCTGCTCCACGCACTGGGACTGTGCCAACTTCAGGGCGCGGTTCTCCTCGGTCAGTGCCTCGAATTCGCGGGCCAGCTGGGCCGCATCCACCTTCTCCTTCTCCGCCTGCGCCAGCTTAGCCATGAGCTCCTTCCTGCAGACGGGGAAGAGCACACGCTGTAGCGCACGCGCCGGGGCAGGGCTGGGAGCCTGGCCGTTTGCGCCTGCGCGTCCCACCCTGCGCATCTGCGCGTCCCACCGTCTGCACGTGCGCACCCCACCCGCCGCACCTGCCTCCTTTATTTCACACCAGCACTTCTGCTGAGACATCGCATAGTACTAACCAACCATTGTCCAGGAGACGCTCAACAAATCCTTGGACAGTCAAAAGAGCGAATCTTTTTAAGGGTACAGCAAATAGTAAAAACTACAGGTAGTTGAAGGGGAAAACCCCTAAAATCTGCCTATAACTTAAGACGCTCTCTCTTGCCTTATTGGTGGGAGAACTTTTCTCTGTCCCCTGTTACCATTCGCCCTCCCAGTTCGGGTATCTTCCTTTGTTTTCTGTCTCTGAGTTTAAAAAATCTTCACTGGTCCCTTGAACGAAGAATTCCACTCCTTCCTGCAGGCATTACTTTCCCTGCCTTCCCCTAAGGTACAAAACAAGACCCTGCATTTGCGGTGCAGACGGAACCCCGGGAGCAGGCTGAGGTGGTGGCAGGGACGGGCCGCAACAGACTCGCGCAGTTCTCGGTCCACGCCTGGAAACACCGCATTGCTGTGAACATGCATGAAGAGGCGCTCAAGACTCACAGCCCCTGTTTAGATTTAATACACATGACGACCCCAAACTGGGCCATTCCACTGCGCGGGTCAGTGACTCCTAAGCGGAATGATTTTTTGCTACAATATAAGCGCACATGGCATCTCCTCCTCTGCAGGGAAAAGTGCAGAGACGCCTGAAGGCCACTGAGTCAAGCGTTCTGACCTGACGTCCCTGGGAGTGGGACCAGGATATCACAGAACACGTCATCCTTCCCGGCGTATTCCTCCCCAAAACGCTGGCAGCACGCACCTTCAGACTGAGAGGTCTGCAAGATTGCTAGCCTATGCTCCTCAAGAAGAACATATTTAAGGAAACTAGAGAGAAATGACAAATAAATGAAAGGTGCAATTGTGGCCTGAAAAAAACTAGCAGTGAAGGACAGGGCTGGGAAATGGCCACTACAGACTTGCATACCCTTTAACGATTGTGTTGTGGCTACTAGGGGGGGGAGAGCGCCCTTGTTCTTAGAAGACAGTCACTAGAGTGTTTAGGGCAATGGAGCGCAAAATGTCACACAACAGGGGCAATGGGAGGCGGTCTGAACCGGTGACATGTGCAGCGCAAAGTTCCTTCAGGCTGTTAATGATCTTTGAATGTTTGACAGTGCTTAGAACATAAAGGCTCCTAATAAATACTTGCTGAATGAATACTGAGGAGTCAGCTACCTCAGAGACAAATGATGCATATTTTAAAAAATGAGGAAAGAGAAATTCAAAGTGCTTAATTTAACTGAAAAATTCATACAGCTAATAAGAAAGAGCCAGCATCAAGCCACTCTCATTTATGGTTCTTTACCTCTAAGCACGGTTGAGGCAATAGATGTCAATAATTAAATATGAGAAACTGAGAAACCGAGCTCCTTATGTAACTACATTAAAGACATTGATTAGTACAGCACAGGAAACATAGTCAATAATATTATTATAACTATGTAGGGTGCCAGTTGGGTACTGGAAATATTGAGGGGAACCTTTGTAAAGTATAGGATTGTCTAACCACTGTGCAGTATGCCTGAAACTAATACAAAATAATATTGAATGTAAATTGTAATTGAAAAAGATTTTCAAGAAATTGACTAGTAAAACTTACATAAGTAAAAGACATGCCTCTACACTCTCCACCCACCAGATCTTCTATTCCTACTTTTTTCCCCTTTCCAATCAACTGTATCCCACAAATAATTCAGGTTAAAACAGAGTTTGCTTTCACATCATGGTGGAAGAGTTGGAAGTCCTGGGTACAACCGTGGCTGCCACCCTGGATCCACGTCTGACCTCATTTAAAATTCCTGGGGACGTGTTGATAATTTTGATGGGTAGAGAAAATACATCAAACATCACAGATTTTACAATATCACCGAAAGGATTGGTCATGATCGTCTGGTCGAATCTTCTTGATTCAGAGAAAGTCAGTAATAATCTCTTTCTTGTTAGAATTAAGAAGACTTAACTGATAGGTTTCTAAATTAGTTTCATGTATTTGAAAGCAATTATCCATATATATATTCAATGAATACTGTCAAAATGTCCATCATCTCCGAGACCTATTTATGCAGACATATTTAGGCTCATCCATTAGCAATTCATGATTACTGCCGGCACATGATCGCTGCAGAGAAAATCTTATAAATAGATGCTAAGGAACAAATCAGCCTCCCTCACTGGCTAGAATGTGGTCCTGCCCTTGAGTTCCCATTTATGGTTTCTGTCAGTCTCTTTGGTAGAATGGATGCAGAGCAGAAAATCACCATCGACAGAAGGCAAGACCTGTGAGTTTCCACACGCTGTAACCACCAGAGAAAAGACAGTGACCTTGGGTCTGCCATAGATCAGCCGGACCATCCCAGACCGCATTCCTGGAAAAGCTCTGTTTGCTAAACAAAATGAGTGAAGAGAAACTCCAAGTGACTTGACAAAGGGAACATTGAAACTTTGAGGCAACTGAGTCTAAAGCTAAGGAGATTCTTCATGTTGCAGGAAGTCAGGATGTAGATTCATCATCAGGCATATATTTCTCAGTTTCTAGAAAGACTAACACCATGCTTGTGGCGACTTTCAAAATTAAGTAAAGACTTTTATTTAGAAAAGACAAAGTCCTAGAGAATTTGGCCGCAGTGAGGTAACAAGTTTGGGGCAACATAATAACATGCTATCTTGACCACGAGAGTTTTATTTTAGTTAGTGATGTAGATGACACCGTTGGTTCTAGACAAGCATGTGTTGCAGGACAAGCATTTATACAGAGAGAAGGAGCAGACTCCTGGCAATGGCACCAGGGGCGTGAACGCCTGCCTGCCTTCATTTCCTGCAGGTGGGAGAACAGTGCATGCGACCGGACTGGGACGTCCACAGCACCGGCTAGACGGTGGTGCTGAAGGCCCAGGACTGAGTAATGCATGAGGCACACAGGAATCTGTCTCCTGGAAGCCAGAGGCACCACCATTCCCGGGTGGGGGCGGGCAGCGGAGTGCCGTAGAGTTTCTCAGTCTCAGCAACGTGGACCCTAGGGCCGGACCATCTTGCCGTGGGGCTGTCCTGTGTGCTGGCCTCGTGGGGGGTGTAACAGCACCCTTGGCTGGCACTCAGCAGATGCCAAAGTTACCGGTTATCTCAGCAAAAGCACCTCCAAACCTTGCCAGTGTCCTGGGGGTGGGGGACTGAAATTCTGGCCCAGTTACAAACCACTATTCTAAAGAAAATAGATTTTTCCACTACCACCCCCCAAAAGAATTAATTTGTGGGTAGGAATAAGGTGAAAGGTAAACTATTTCCTCACTTGGCTCCCCCAGAAATTGGAGCCTTCTTCCTTAGCAAAGGAGATAAATGTTTTGTCTCCTTCAACGTGGTTGCAGGGAGAGGATTGGATGAGAGACGCCAGTTAAAAGGATGGACTGCTTGTAATTAGGCGACGTGAGGCGCCCAGACCATCATACCTGGGGCATTGATGAAAAGTGTAGTCTCATAGCCCCGTAAACTCTGGTATGCTGGGGTTTCACACAGAACTAAACCCTGAACTGAAAGAATCCCGTGACCCTCTCACCCCCTGGAGCACAGTGAGGAGCCAAGACAGCTCTTTAGTTCTTTCTTCATTCACTCAGCAAGTATTTATGGAAACCCTATTGCAAACCAGGACTTGTCCTCGAGTCTGGACGCTCGCTCTGCACGACAGTCCTGGGAAGCCCCTGACAACTAGGCGCAGATGGACTCGAACCCTATGCCACCCCCAGAGGTCTCGTACCCACATCAGACGCCCCGGGAGAGAAGACAGAATGTCCTCCCCAGGTACCACCCGCCCTGCAAACACCTGAGGGGCGACAGGTCCACGAACCGTGTCTCTAAGACAGTGAAACCCTCCCTCCGGGGTCTCATCTAACAGGATGTGCTTAGACTCTGACAGTGATGTTTGGTTTTCAATATTTTGTAGCTGTGGGGTGTGTTTTTCAAAGAACTGAAGCAAGTAAAAGAGATAAAATTGGAACTTCTCTGCTTGGCCTTGGTCCAGTCTCTGACCAACACCCCTCCATTCCCAAATGGAGGGGTTCTAGAGCATGCAGTTTAAAATCCTCTGCTTTTGGGGTCCTAAAGAAATAAACGTTTCTAGCTAAACATTTGGAAATTTCAGAAATGCTACAAACCAAAGCAGGGCTCCTTTTCGACGAAACTTACCTGTTCCCTTTCTCTCCCTCCGGACGGGTCCCCCCAAGGGGACTGCCGTTCCCCCATCGCCCTTTCGTGTCTTTTAAAAAGGCCATGAAAACATGGCTGGCACCGGCTGTGGTTAACTCTGCATGAAAACCCTTTTCTAATGTTTTGAATAAACCAACTAAAATTCTATAACTTTTTTCAATAATAAATACACAATTTTTTAAAAATGGTCAAAGGAGCTGAAAGGACATGTCACCAAAAAGACACAGAAATGCCAAAAAGCACAAGAAAAAGGAGTCAGTATTTTTAGCCATCAGGGAGTATGAATGAAAACGACACGCGACTTCCCTTCACACCCACTGGGACGGCTACGGTCTCAGAGACGCTGTAAGTGTTGGCAGAGATGTGGGCGATGAGAACACTCAGACGTTCCTCCTGGAAACATAAAGGGGTGGCCCCTTCAGCTGCGGGCAGCCCCTCAGAAGGTGGCAGGCTGAGCTGTCGTGTGTCTCAGCAGTCCCACTCCTAGTCACACAACACGCCAGAATTAGACCCTCATGTCCACACAAAACCTTGTGCAAAGGCATTTGCAGCTGCAACACTCACAACAGCCAAAGGTGCAAACCACTCGACTGTCCATCAGCTGATGACACAGATTAATAAAATCCGGTCTGTCCGTTCAAGGGCCATTATTCGATGATAAAAAGGACTGAAGGGCCGGCCGACACACGCTACACGGATGAACCTCGCAAACACTGCACCACATACAAGAAGCTGTTCACAAAAGAACACATCCCATCGGGATGCAGCTGAAGCACTCAGATAGGCAAACCCACAGTCTTGGCGAGCAGGGGGGCGGCTGCCGGCGGCACCACTGGCTGCCAAGGGGACGAGGGTGCTTTCCAGGTGACAGCAATGTCCTGAAGTTGTGGTGGTGGTTGTACAATCCTGTGAGTGCAGTGAGAACCCCTGAGTCACTTTCTTTAATTTGGTGACAGTGGTCAACCTGGCATTTCTAAGAGTGTGTCAGTTTTGTGACATTCTAAGCCTATCGCTTAATACAACAACTGGCACACTTTCTCACACGGGACAGTCAAGGGATCAACCCTTTGAACAAGACAAAACACCTGGGAAAAGCCACTTTCACTCACTGCGAATCAAACGGCGCCTCTAACTGCTGTTTAATGGTGTATATTAAACACTTTCTGTCAGGCCATTTAGTCATAAATTTCAAGTCATAAAAGGTCTACACCTCACTCCCGTGTGTTTCCATCACATACACAAAACTACATGCGTTACATAAAAAGCTTATAATATTAACTTTAAAAAGCCTGTACATATTTCATGTTACTAGATATGTAATTATATCAAAATATTCACCCGCAAAAGGCCTAGAAAGAAATAGACAGAAATGGTAGCAGGAACTCTCTGAACATGTAAGACCTCTTGGTAAGTTTTATAAAACTTTCAATAAAACTGCAATTTTTTTTCAACTGAGAAGAAAAAAAAAAGATCCAATTAAAGTACGAACAGGCTTTTCTTACATTATTAGTCAATAGGCCTAAAGTGATTCTTTAAGTTAAATTCATTCTATGCTGAATTTACAATCCCAGAAAAAAGCGTACCCGCCCAACACCACGATTTAAAGTAACAGAGCTAATGCTTCTCCTGGCTCCGATGTGGGCCCTGAACAAGACCCAGGGAGACCCCCTCTGGAGACGCGGAGAAGTTCAGCCTGCAGCCGGCCAGCGACCAGTCTCTTCTAAGGAGGCACCTGAGGGTGCGTCTCCCTTGGCGCCCCGCTGACACTCACCGATCGCTGGGGGCAACATGATTAGCCACACTGGAGGAAAAGATCGGGTAGAAACTTTCATCCAAATCATCAAAAAACGGGCCGCCAATTACTTAGGTCAAATCCACGTGGCCCAGTTTCTGTTGCTTGAAAACAAGATCTGTTTAGGAAAACATCTATTGCGAAATGAATCTCTGCTTCATGGAAGTGTCCAGGAAAATGATGGTTACCAATAACCCTTGGAAGACAACCCTCATTATAATTACAATATAACCATACTTTCTATTTCCTCAATTTATCTTAGTCTTTATCGCAGATGCGTACTCCATATTTAATAATGGACCGAAGAAATTACAAACAAAGCGTCTGCATGGGGGGCGTTATAACCTCCCATCATCGCCACTCTCAGTCACCCTCATGCATGTCGGACCCTCCGCACAGCTCCCCGCTCGGGGGTGGGACCCGAATGTGACAAGGCTTCTGCGTTTGCACGTACAGTCAGCAGGGCAGCACCCGGGCGGGGCGGCAGCACACAGAAAGGGCCAACGCGGTCCTTCCAGGGAACTCCAAGGGGCTCCGAAGAAGCGCACGTCCCTATGGGATACTGGGGTGGGGGTGGGGCAGAGAGGGACAAGGCACGAAGGCCACCCCCCACCCCCGCGAGGTCTGTCTTGAAATCCAGGCCAAGCTCAGGGCATCCCCTCCTAGTGACGAAAACCACAGGCAGGACAACCAAGGGCAACAGGACGTTGACCTGGAGCCCCCGAGTCCCCTTCCCAAATGGCAGAAGCGGGAATAATGAAAAACAAATGTGGTAGACTATGAAGAAGAAAGGAAAAAAATAACAAAAGAATTTGGCCTTTGCCTCTCACTTAGCCAGCTGTTTAGAAAGGCCTGTGAGCAGCTAATCAGGGGTCCGGCCAGCACTTTCGTGGTTTGGAAGGTTAGGTGAAGCCACCTTCCCTCTAGAGTCAGCTCTGCCTTCTGGCCCACAGCCACCACCGCTCTCGACAGCGCAGCGGGGCATCTCCACCCAACACCCGGTGGGTCGCCTTCGGGCCAGTGTCCCGGTGTGTTCTGTAAAGGCGGCAGACAAAAACGTAACCTCGCAGATCCTGTAATTTAGTAGATTAGTCTCCCATCACCCCCCGAATAAAGAGCCTCGTGTTGGTTTAGTTGACAAAGTCCTCCTGCAAGTCAATCAGAAGAGCTTACAAATAAACACAGAAGCACCTGTTCTTCTGTTAGGATATCACATCACGGTCGGCGCACGCACTCTCACCTGCACACTGTAACCTCACCCTGGTCACACTATTAATCAGCTTCCGCAGCTCCTTTATGAAACTTCTCAGGACTTGGACTGTATGTAAATGTCCCACCTGCACGCTCCAGTCAACGTACAAAAACTCCCAAACAAGAGAGCCTCAAAAATCTGAGAAAGCTGTGCTTCTGATCTCATAAACATCTTTCATCTTCTATTACCAGAATCCAGGCACAATGTCACGTTCTTAACACCACAAAGCGAGGAGATACGCAAAGGTCTGTCCCCCTGCAACCGGGGCCTCGTGGTACGTGCAGAAGTCCGGACCCAAACCCTGCGCTCCCCGCCGTCTAATCTGAGCAACTGCCCTGCTGGGCTTGCAAACTCCCGACCATTTCATAAATTCCTCAAAACAGTACATTTCACTGGCTTCGATTTAAAAATTAATAAATATATATGATGTGTCTCTTCAGCAAGACGAAAGGGAGAAGCACACCACGAGAGACAGGACGTTTGGATTCAACACACGAGTCACTTTTAATATGCATTACTTACCCAGCACGCATGCGCCGTACGCCCAGCACGCATGCGTAGTTCATCCAGCCCGCTCGTGTCACCCTAACCCTGAACCTAACCTAACTCTCTGCCCTGGGACCTCCTCCAGGTAAACGTTCAGTATAATCCACCTGCAGCCAAAGAGTGCTGGGGCCCTTGGGCACGTTCACGGGCCACAGAGTATGGCTCCAGGTGACATTTTGGCTTTTGGAAGGAAGGAAGCACCCCCGTTCCTCGCACTACTCATAAAATAAAACATGGAACCCACAGAGGCGCCCCCTGGGTCGTTTCTGTGCCCACACGTTTCCTAGCAACTTGATGCCCTCTGCGCGTGCCCACTCCGCGCCCGCCCGCCGGCCCGCCGCTTACTTCCGCTCCTCCAGCAGCGCGATCTCCTTGCGCACTTCGTGGTACTCCTCCGCGATCTGGCAGTGCTGCCGGAAGACCTGCATGGACTCCAGCGAGTCCTGACGAGGCGGCAGGGGCTTCAGGAACAACGAGAAGTCAGTCATTTTCCTGTATCCGTAAATCACCAAGCCCTTTGCGCCCCTGGAGCCTGGGCCGGGGACCTCACGTGTCACACACGGGCTCTGTCACGTGCCCCGCAGGCCCAGCCCCGCATTAGAGGCGCGGCCTGGGAGCGGTTCACGCCCTGTGCCGATGGCCCCGGGCGCTCTGGTCCTGCAACCCGGGCTTCTTATCACCGACAAGAGCAGCCCTACCAGAAAGGCGCCCTTCTGGGGCGTACTCCCAAGCTGAAGGGCGGAAGCTGGGCCGGAAATAAATTGGCCCCGTGACAAGTGAGGCCTGGAGAGCCCGGCTTCCGGTGCCTTCCGACCCCTGTGAGGGACCGAGACCCCCAGGCAGCCCTTCCCGACCTCCACGTGTCGAAAAGCCTATGTCTAGAACTTAGTTTCTAAAGAACTCGCTTATAACTCTGTAAGTTCTAAAGAACTGAGTTTATAACTCTAATTTCTACTTAGCGACGTTATTAAAACCATTATTTTTAGAACCACTAAATAATAGTCTTTTAAGGAGTTTTTGTCACTTTTCAATTATTTAGAGAGAATGTTACATGATATCTGAGAAGGAGGATTTTGTTGTTCAACAGGCTTTTCTGTCTGACCCTCCCTTCACCGTGGTCCAGACGTGTAAACTGTGTGTCTGCTCAGATCCTCGCTTTTTCATGTCGGTAAGTTGAGAACTAATGAACCCTGTACTGGTCACTCTGCGCATTATGTTCTGCAAGGACACAGCTCTCTTTGGATGTCACGTGGGGAACCCATCCAGGAAGTAATAGAAATCCTGCAGTTTATTGTCTGATCGATGGATGCAGTGACCCTTCTCATTCGCCACCATTTCTGTTAAAAGACTTCTGCATAGAGGTCTTTTAAAAGAAAGAAAATTCAAAATCGATTTGGAGGAACTTGACCTCCCTGTGGAACGCCTGTATCCTGAGTCATGGAGAATCTGATAGAAACCATGTTGTGTAGCGCCCTTCCCTACGGCCCCAGGAACACACTCAGCGTGTGCTCAGCCTGTTGGGACCGCTGCCCCTTTCCGCACAGCAGCGTGCTGGGAAGCGGCGCCAGGCAGTCCGCCGCGGGGGAGGGATCTCCTGCCAGGAGAATGCAGAGCTCCTGGCTTCCGCGAGTGTGTCCTCGAACTCCCCACCTCACCAGTTCTCACCTGTTCCCCTGGCAGAGTGCCACGTGGAACGGCAGCGAATGAAACTAACTCACTCTGGGCAGCCTCTACCAGTCAGTCACCCGGCCCTGTCACCCGGGCCCTGAGACTTGGCGCGTCCGTGTCCACCCGTTGGAAACGCAGCCCATACCCGGTTCAGTCTGTAACTGCCATGCCGTGGTGGGGCCTGCACCACAAATCAGCACAGTTATGCGTGTGACAGTCCAAAGCTTCCAGGACTCTCTGAAAGAATTCACATGCATTAGAGGATACAGACAAGAGCAGCCCTGGCTGAGGGGGAAACTGCCCTTTGCTGCTTAGTTAAAAAGGAAAACTAAAAATTAGGTACATAATTTTCCTAAGAAGAAGAAGGCCTCTTTCTCCCCTTACCTTCTTACAAAGTGGGAATTTTTTTCCCATGGGTTCTTTTTTTTTTAATTGTCACTTTTTAATAGTGGCAAATTCGAAGGCATTATTATGTGTTGGTAGCAGGCTCCTGCTGCCAAGGGTGTTTTGGGGTAGGGGTAGTTCCGGACGTGTTCCACATCCTCATGTGCTAGGAGCAGGATGACCATGCTACACAGTCACATTTTCAAGGTTTCCCACAAGGAAGAAGTAGTTCCGGTTTTTCAACAAGCCAAAACTGCTCAGTGCTCAGTGTTTTGGGAAGGAACAGGGCCAGGTGTCCTCGGCCTCTGGGCCCTGTGAGTTCTGTCTTCACGACCCTGACGTGGAGGGTCAGCACCGCGTCAGGGTCTCTCCCTGTTTGCATGAAAGTGTTAACAGCTGGGGTTTTTTTAAAGCAAGGACAGAAGTTATCTTACACAACCCACCACAACATTGTGAAGTTGTCATATTGGTTGCCAGGGGTTGGGGGAGGGAAATGAGTTGCTGCTTAATGAGCAGAGTTTCAGTTCCGCAGATGGTTGCTCAGCACTGTGAGTGCACTTAACGCTGCTGACTGTGCTCTTAGAAATGATTAAGATGGCAACATTTATGTCGTGTGTTTTTTACCACAGTAAAAAAAAGTTAATGCAACAAAAGAGTGATCCTTAAATCTTTCTGCTGCCCCAGCCCATCTCCCGAAGTCGCTAAGGCCCCCTGCATTGGCAATGCTACCTTTCTCCAGGGAACTTGGAACCTCTCACCCCTTTATTACCTGGAGCCCCTGACTCCAACTGGACAAATGAAAGCGCCCTCTGCCCAGCAGGACCCCCACCTTAGAGGGCCTCTGACAGCACTGGACATTTTCTCCAGCCAAGGGGGCTCACCAAAGAATCTTTTAAACACATGTTCTTATCCCAGTAGGAATTCTGGTCAATAAATTAAAATATTTAGATTTCTGACATAAAAACTCAAGATGGAGGTGTGGGTAGATATGCTTCGCCAGAAAACCAAACTGTACGGAAGCCCACCAACCCCAGAAATGAAGAAGAAACACTCATTCGGGCTGGTAGGAGGGGCAGAAACGGGCAGCGGGGCAGAGAGGACTCACAGCAAGATAGCAGCTAGCAGACCGGGCAGTCCCACTTCCGCACATCAATATTCGTAGATAAACCAGGAGGAACAACTGGGAAGCAAGATAGACCATCAACCCAGGGATCCAACATGGGGAAATAAAGTCTCAAAAAGTCTGGCTGTAAAACCTGTGGGGGTTGCAGTGGCAGAATAAACTGCCAGCTTCTCAGGAGAGTCCTTTGGAGGGGTACACGGGGTCCTAGAACATACACAAGCCAACCCTCTTGGGAATCAGCTCCAAGGAAGCACTTGGAAGGGTGCAATTCACTTGGGGGAAGCAGAGGAAGTGACTGAAAGCGGGGTGGGAGCTGAGTAAGTGGCATTGTTCCCTCTCTAACCCTTCCCCACATACAGCACCGCAACACAGGGACGTGGGTTGCCTTGCCCTGGTAACTACCTAAGGCTCTGCCCCTCGATGTGTAACGGGCATGCCGAGACAAAGAAGTATGGCCCACATGAAAGAACAGATCAAAACTTTTAGAAAAGTACTAAGCAATGAGGAGATAGCCAACCTACAGATGCACAGTTCAAAACACTGGTAATCGGGATACACATGGAAATGATTGCGTATGATTGCAAAATGGAGAAAGAAACAAAGGCTATGCAAAGTGAAATAAAGAAAAACATACAGGGAACCAACAGTGACAGAAAGGGAACCGGGACTCAAATGAATAATTTGGAACAAAAGGAAGAAATAAATATTCAACTGGAAGAGAATGAAGAAACAAGGATTCACAAAAATGAGAAGAGACTTAGGAGCCCCGACACAACTTTAAATGTCCCCACATCCAAATCATACGGATGCCAGAAGGAGCAGAGGAAGAGTGAGAAATTGAAAACTTACTTGAAAAAATAATGAAAGAAAAATTCCCCAATTTGGCAAAGGAAATAGACATATAAGTCCAGGAAACACAGAGTTCCAAACAAGTTAGACCCAAAGAGGGCCACACCAAGACATATCATAATTCAGTTGCCAAAGATTCAAGATAAAGAGAGAATCTTAAAAGAAGCAGAAGAAGACAGTTACCCATCAAGGAGTTCCTATAAGACTGTCAGCTGATTTCTCAAAAGAAACCTTACAGGCAAAAGGGGCTGGAAAGAAGTATTCCAAGTCATGAAAGGCAAGGACCTATATCCAACATGACTCTATCCAGCAAAGCTATCACTTAGAATGGAAGGGCAGATAAAGGAGTTCATCATCACCAAGCCCTTAATATAGGAGATGTTAAAGGGACTTACCTAAGAAAAAGAAGATGATCAAAACTATGAAGAGTAAAATGATAACAAACAACTATCAACAACTGACCCTAAAAATCAAAAACAAAAACAAACTAAGCAAACAACTAAAACAGGAACAGAATCACAGAAATGGAGATCACATGGAGGGTTATGAGTGGGGAGGGGAGGAGGAGAATGGGGGAAAGGGCCAGGTAATGAGAACCATAAAGAGTCCATACAAAATAGACAGGGGGAGGTTAAGAATAGTATAGGAAATGTAGAAGCCAAAGAACTTAATATGTACGACCCATGGATATGAACTAAAAGGGGGGAATGCTGGTGGGAGGGGGTACAGGGCAGAGGGAGATAAAGGGGAGAAAAAATGGGACAACTGTAATAGTATAATCAATAAAACGTACTTAAAAATGTTTAGATCTCATACCTGATATAAAAAGTAGCGCTATAGAGAAATGAACAGGGATGTTCTGTCTGACACAGAACAGTCTCATTGCTTTGTGATAGACTGCGTGTGTGCGTGTCTGCAGGTCTGCGTGCCACGTCTCCGGGCCGTCAGGGAGAGTGACCGTCTTACCTCCTTACAACCTCTCGCAATTAGAGACAACACGTGGCTGACAGTGCCCATTGATGTTCTTGCCCAAGGAAAGATTCCTGGAATTCAAGCGCAAGGATCAAGTTTCCAATTTAAAAATGGAGCTGCCAGTAAGCCTCTGTCACGTGACCTTCAGAAGCCCTGGCACTCATGAATTAACTGGCCTCACATGCGTGTAAGATACTAACACATGTTCACACCAATAACTAAAAAAGTTCTTAAAAGAAATCCTATGGTAACTGGATGAAACAGTCTGTTAACTTCTTGGAATGAGAATCAACACTTTATTTTTGTTTAATTCTCATGGCTTAATTTTAACTATTCTTGTCCAAGAGACTTTTGTAGTTATAATTCAGGCTGGGAATGAACCAGCAATAAATAGGCTTTTTGTGTTGATGGTGAATTTCCTTTTGCTTCAGGAGGAGGAAATTTTCTTATTCCCTCCACAATTAT